CTGCTCGGCTTTTGGATGGGGCAGTTGTCCTTGCTTGATCTTGGCCTGGGTTCCCTGGATCCTCTTGTGGACCTCTGCCTCCAGGGGTTCATTTTCCCCTTGATCTTAGCTGTGTAGGGTGTTAGATCTTCAGGCCCCTCTCTGGCAGCTCAAGACAGAGTGTCGGGGACTTCAGAGACCTTGGGCCTCATTTATCTGAGCCTAGGCACTGTGAGAAGTGTTGGTCACTACTACTGCAATTCTCTGGGACTTCCAAGGGTACTTTCTTACCTTGGGACTTTCTTGCTTCCTGACACAGAACTGTACAGGCTACACATGTCCTTGGCTATCTCTAGTCATGATGGTGCTCACTTCGTTGGAGGAATCCCTTGTTCCTATCGCTCCTGGCCTTCTGGCTGACTTTAGGTGTGGAAGAAGTCACATAGTATAGTTTCTTTTAGGATTTCCTGATCATTATTTGTATCTGATGCAAACTTTAGGGTTTTGCTGGAGTAAGTTTATAGAAGTTGGATGGCCTGAGTCCTGATCTTGTCCAAACAATCTCATTTTGGCTGCAAGTTCTCCAATTCAATCTTGAGGGTTTCCCAATCATGTTCTTTAGCTTGTGCCTCTACCTAGGAGCCAACTCCTTATCTTTTCCACCAATATCTGAATTTGGCTGATTCTAGGGATATTTCTCTAGGGGATATTTAGGTCCTTTAAGGGTTTTTAAATATCTACAAAATTGTATTGATACTTTTTTTTTATTAAAGAGGCTAAGATAAAAGACTAATAAAGGCTAATAGATTAGCAGTGAAAGCCATTTTTGGGTGTCAATACCATTTTTGCCACTTGCTCCCTATGTGACTTTGCATGACGGATTCAGTCTCTTTGGGATTCAGTTCCCTCATCTTGTAGATTAACATGCACCAAAATTTTGCTTTGCTAATTCTGTGATGCCTTTAAGATTACTAAAGATAGCCTTTTGTTGTTCAGTCATTTCAGTGGTGTCAGAATCTCTGTGGCCCCATTTGGAGTTTTCTTGGCAAAGATACTGGAGTAGCTTGCCATTTCCTTCTCCAGCTCATTTTACAGATGAGAAAACTGAGGCAAACAGGGTTAAGTGACTTGCCCAGTGTCACACAGCTAGGAAGTGTCTGAGGCTAGATTTGAACTCAGAAAGATGAGTCTTCCTGACTCCAGGTCTAGTGTTCTATCCACTACACCACCTTGCTACCCAAAAGATAGCCTTAATTATCTGATAAAATGACGTGGGAATCACTGGACTAAGTCATCCAAAATAAATGGGATTCAGAAACTCATTATAAAAAAACTCGGTTAATCAACAGGTACATTTGTAAGATAATCAGACATTTGCCTTTGACTTATAAGACACTAGTACTGTGCTACTACAGTCTCCTCTAAGGGGACTGGCATCTGAGAATTTCCCAGTGTCATTTGGGAGGACTGTCTAAACTTAAGCTCATTAATCTTAATCAGTATCCCAATATTGGCCTCAGGGAAGGAAAAGGCACTACGATGGAATCCCAATATTGGCCTCAGGGAAGCAAAAGGCACTACAATGGAATCCCAGTCTAACATTTCATGCTATATGTAGCAGAGTCTGTATTGGTCCCCCTCATTTTCTTTCTTCCTGAATGCAGCCTCACCTCTGCAGATCCTTTCCTTAAAACTAGAGAAGCAGCACTGAGCTCTGATGGATGGGGGAAAATTGAGTTAAAGCCACCACAATGTCATGTCTACACATCACAATATTATATCATTGATGGGAACATCCCAGGAAACCGCTTAAACATTGTGAAACTACAGAACAAGAGTAATATGATTATGGAATATCAAGGTTGGAGGGAGGGACTTTAGAGATCATCTAGTCTGAATCCCTTCTCTTCCTTTAAAGATGAAGTTGCTAAGGTCCTGAGAAGTGATATGACTTGTGCAATTGTACAGTAGCATCGTATAAGGAGAAGAGTGCCTGATTAGGAGTCATAGGACCTTGATTCAAAGTTCAAATCTGCCCCATCCGACTCCAATTTCTTGGGTGACATGGAACAAGGCATGCCACCCCTCTGTGCCTATATCATATGGAACTTGATTAGATTACCTCTAGGGTCACTTAAATCTCTAAATATGGTGTTTTATACAAAGTGGCAGAGTTTGGATTAGAACTGGGGTCTCCCGACTCTTGATCCTGCTCCAAGACTTGATATATTTTCTCTACCTCTTTCTACAAAGGAGTTTTTAATAGTAACATAGAAGGGAAGAATGGACTATGAGGACCACATCTTAATAATATGCTATCTTACCATATCAAGAGAACAGATGAGTTGAAATGAAACATTTTATTTTGAAATCAAGTTGCACTGCCCCTAAGATGGTTTTATTGTAATAATAGAACACTTGTTTATATTGACAAAGACATATGCACAAAGGAAAAAACTAAGAAGTGTACTTGAATGTTATATCCCTTTCCACAAGGAATTGGAATACAGATGAAATGGATGCCTGAAGGACTGGACAGAAATGCTCAATGTATTACAATTTAAGGACTATCAGGGCTGAAATTATCTGGAAGGGGCAATCTTCCTTTGCCCTTACCTTAAAGGAGAAGGAAGAGCTGAAATCTCATAAGAGGGATGTTAAGGACAGTGAGAATATGTAACTGAGTGAGAAAGAGAGGCCTGTGGAGCACCATGGTGGTAAGCTACTCAGAACCACTGCGGTAACCTTCTGCTGCTGAACTGTGTAGAAGCCACATGGAATATGATAATGATGTTTCTGTTTGCTGAACAAAACTTGTGATTCTTCTACCTCCCCACCCTTGACCTTGTTATGGCTCTTGTGCTGAGTCTATATGTCTGATCGTTATTTCTTTAAGAGTGTTCATTCTGTGTAAATAACATGGGGTTTTAAAAGAAACCAGCTTCTCTAAGATAACATTCATTGTGTTTGTGTGACCTATAAGGAATTAAGTGCATATGAGAGTAGCGTTATGGTTGGCCAGATATGCAGAGGAAAAGAGAGAAAAAGACTGGTATCTAATTAATTGTTGGGAGTATAGCTGGGGACTTGAGTTGATCAAAAGAAATTTTATTGATACACACTATTTTAGCTCTCCAAAAGCAGAGGAGAATCAGTAAATCTGGACTGTCCTAGGCATAGGATGAGCCAGCAGTTTTCTAGTGGCAGAAGGTTTGCTAAAGTGAGAGGAACTCAGCCTCATCTGAGTCAGGGACCTCAAGCCAGTTTCTTTCTCTCATAGAGAATGTTTAAAGAATCCTAACACTCCCAGGACCAGAGGGAGAACATTGGCTAAAGGAAAATTTGTACTCTTTGAGATATATGAAAGGAGAGGCTGAGAAAGAGTGGTACCACTCACTGGAGTGGTGTCCAGAGAGAGAGATGAGTTCTCACCAAACACTGGTATGTGTGTGTGTGTGTGTGTGTGTGTGTGTGTGTGTGTGTGTGTGTGTGTTTTGAGGGAGGGACAGACCTGCAATTTTGTATAGAGATCTCCTGATGAGGAATTTTATCCACCATCTCTGCCTCTTAGAGTTTTAGAGAGTTGCCTGGGACAAAGAGAGGTTAGGTTACTTTTCCAGAGTCATGCAGTCAGTATGTGTCATTGGTAGGACTTGAATCCAGGACTTCCAGATTCTGCCATGCTGTGATAGACACAAACATAAATTGTGTGTATATACGTACGTATTTATATTTGAGCATGAAGTCATGCTAAATACATCTGGGAAATGCACATACATTTGTATATATGACTTTAGGCCCAGGGAATAATAGGAAAGAGGGTCTACTTTGTGACTAATTAGAAATGGGAGCTGCAGAACACAGCATAGGCAGGAACATTACAGGAAGGTTTGAATTAAATATTAGATGATACAGAATTTTTTTTCTTTCTGTTTTCAGGTTACTTTGCAATTTCTATATAGTTGCCACAAAACTCAAATCATAGACACAAGAAAGCAGCGATGCCAGCACAACTTTTAGCTGGTTATGCTCTAAGGATTGTATTTTGTATACCTTTCAGGATATCTAATGATCCTCCAAAAGTCTGTGGTTAAGAACAAGTGACATTAGAAATGTTTTGGATGGAAAATTCTACCCATCTGCTGATCTGAGAGATTTCAGAGATGTCCTGGGGGATACTGATCTGTTTTTAAAGCATATAAATTTTTTCTTTCATGTGCTTTTACTTTACCATAAAAGGTGAAGTTAATACTTTTAACCAAATTCCAATGTGAGTTAGCATCATAGACTTTTAGCTAGAAGGAACCTTAAAGATCATCTAATCTCCCCCTCCTCCCCCTTTCCAGATGAGAAAATTGAAGCCCAGAAAGATTAAATACTTTCTTGAGGTTACATAAGTAGTAAGTGGTCAAGCTAGGTTGGGAACCTGTGTCTTAGAATTCCCGAAACAGGCCATTTTCCACTGCACCACTGCATCTTAGCAGGCAGATTCCAATTCTCAGAATTCCCTCATTACTTATATTTAAAGTGAAATTCTTATGTTTCCCTCAAGGTCTGAACTCTCAAGTAAGACACATTTCTCTTTCCCTAAAGTTTTTACTATGTTGTTAAAGTCTATCTAAAGAAAAAAAGGATTTATATGTGTCTTTTGGCCCTCGCCTATTTTGGTTAGGTTTTATCCTAATAACGAAGTCTGAAGTTCATTAAGGGAACATTCATGACATTTTGGGATCCACCCACTGCTTTGGGGTTTTGCTTTTTTCCCCGCCTCAGATTCTTTTAATTTGAGGGAACCAATGTAGCTCTTGGGATAGCAATTTACTATTTTTTTATTCTCACCATATGACTGGTCTAACCCCTTTTCCTGTACTATAGGTCCTCATCTTTCTTTTATGCACCTCCTCACAGACAAGCCTTCATTTGTAATATGCTATAGTAAGTTTATGCCCACTAGGTCCATTGGGTTACTTGTGACTGATTATTTTGTTATAAAAAATTAATATATTATCATCATTTTAAAGATAGAAGCCCTGGAATCAGGACAGATGACCTATGCTTTGACACACATGGAAGACTTGGAAATGTGCCTAAAAGAAGCAGAAGAAAAGGCTAAGACATTAACAGAGCGGGTAAATATCTGTCACTTGAATTAGAAATATATATTAATATTATTATTATTATTTTTCACCCTCTCTGCCCCCTCTATAATTATAATTATAATTGTTATTATTAATAAATCAACAAGCATTTCTAAAATGCTGAATCTGAGTGAGACATGATGCTAAGAACTAGAGCTGCAAAGACAAAAGTTAAAGTCCCTCCCTTCAAAGAGCTTACATTCTAATGAAGGAGACAACATTTACTCATATTAGTATATATAAAATGAATACAAGTTGGAGTAGGCTGGGGAGGGGGGACCAGGAAAGGCCCGATGAAGAAGATAGCACTTAAGCTGAGTCTTGAAGGAAACCTAGGGTTTCAAGAGGTGGAGATAGGGAGAGAGTACATTCTAAGGCATGGTGAAACATCTCATACAAAGGCCCAGGAACCAGAGCTGGAGCACTTAAGGTCAGTGTGGCTGGAATGCAGAGTGGGCAGAAGGGACTAACATGTAGAAAGACTAGAAAGGTAGAAAAGGGTCAGGTGGTACAGAACTTTAAATGCCAAATGAAGGAGTCTAAATTTGATCCTAGAGGCAAGAGAATGCCACTGAAATTTGTAGAGGAGTGGGGGGAACTGGGCTTTATGAAGATCACTTTGGCAGCTGAGAGGATGATGGATTGGATTTGAGGGAGAATTTTGATTTGGAGAGAGCAGAAAGGAGTCTATTGCAGTAGTCTAGGTGAGAAGTCAATGAGAAAATCAACAAGGAATTATTAAACATTTACTATGGTACTGTGCTAAGTGCTGAGAGTACAAAGAAAAGCAAAAACAGCCTCTGCCCTCGAGGGGTTCATATTCAGATGGAGAGAAAACATGTAAATAAGTAAGTACATACAAAATACATATAGAGTGGATGGAAGGTGATTCAGATGGAAGAAAGAACAGTAAGTATTGACCAGGGTAGCTGTATCGTTGAGTTTATGGAGGGAGTATGAAGTATAAGAAGACAGGTTCAGGCAAGAAGGGGCCAGGTTTCAAAGTGCTTTAAGTTACAAAGAGGACATTCCATCTTGGAGATAGGGTAGCTACATGGTGATGTGATGAGACTGATGCTTTGGGAAAATCACTTTGGCCAATGTGTGGAGGATGTTTTGGAGCGGGGAGGAGCTTGAGGCAGAGAGTGAAAAAAGAGGCTGTTGTAATAGTTCAGGTGAGAGGTGATAAGGATCTGGACTAGGATGATGGCAGTGTGAGTAGATGGAAGGGGATGTTTGTAAGAGATAGAAATGTGAAGAAGCTATGATAAATATTGTGACAGGTATTTTGGAGATAGAAACAATAGGATTTGGCAACTGGTTGGATATGTGGGGTGAGGGAGAGCAAGGAATTAAGTATGACATTGAGTTTGTCAGCCTGGATAATTAGAATACAATACAATAATTCAGAAATTTGGAAGAGGAAGGTTTGGGGGAAAAGATGAGTGGTATTTTAGAAATGTTGAGTTTGAAGTGTCACTGGAATGTCCATTTGAAATGTCAGCAGTCAGTAATGTAAGAGTGGAGCTCAAGAGAGATGACTGTCTAGTAGGACTAGGTATATAGATCTGGAAGTCCTCTGCATAGAGATGAGAATTGAACCCATGAGAATTGATGGGGGGGGGGAGACAGAGAGAGAGAGAGAGGAACAGAGAGAGACAGAGAGAAAACACTAACTTTAAGGTATATGTATAATTAATGAATATGACATGGCTGGTGAATCAGTAAAGGAAACTGAGCAGTGGTCAGTTAGGTAGGAGTAGAAGCCATAGAGCATCATAATATGCAGCAGAGAGGTCAAGGAGGATGAGAGTTGAGAAGAGGCCATTTAATTTATATGTTAGAATTAGGAGATCACTGGAGACAGCAGTTTCAGTTGATTTAGAGGTTAAAAGTCACAATGTAATGGGTCAAGTGAGAGAAAAAACTGAAGCACAAACTGCAGGCTGCTTGTTCAAGGAGTCTGGCTAACAAAGGGAGAAGAGATTAGGACTGTAGGTAGTGGAAATGGTAGGGAGTGAGGATTTGAGAATGGGGGAGAATTGAAGCTTGTTTGTAGACAGAAAAGGAATCAGTATACAGGGAGAAATTGGAGATTGGAGAGACTGGATGATACAAATTTAAGTATATCCTTTAACTTCTATTATAGTATTAGAAATTAGTATTATGTTAAATTCAGTGATATTTCCTCTCATGCCAATTGCTTCTTACCTTTGATTGACCCTTTATTGTGAAACAGATATCTTCCCCATATTTAATTTGTCTCAAATACTTCATGCATTAATTTTTTAAGCAATTAGCTTAATAGATACATCAGACCTACATATATAGACATATACATATAAATACACACACTCAACTCATACATAATGTAAGAGGCAGCACCAAGTAGTGGACAAGAGCAACTATGGAGTCAGGAAGACCTGAGGTCAGGTCTTTTATGCATACCAGTGAATCATTTAATCTCTTAGTACAACAGATAGGTTTTTCTAAGCCTATAAATTACAAATGAATTGCAGATCTACATGTGGAAGGGGGAAACTAGGTGGTGCAGTGGTTAGAGTGTCAGGCCTGGAGTTAGGAAGACTCAGATTCCTGAGTTTAAATCTGGTTTCAGACACTTACTAGCTGTGTGACCCTGGGCAAGTCACTAAACCGTGTTTGCCTCAGTTTCCTCATCCGTAAAAATGAGCTGGAGAAGGAAATGCAAACTACTCCAGTATCTTTACCAAGAAAACCCAAATGGGGTCACAAAGAGTTAGACACGACTGAAAAATGACTGAATTTGCCTACTGGGAGTTCCTCACAGTTCTAAACCAAAATAATAATAATAACTGACTTTTACATAGTAGTGCTTTACCAACATTAGCTCCTTTGATCCTCACAGTGAACCAATGAGGTTCGTTGGAAGAGAAAGTTTCTTTACTGGAACTTTTCTATACTAATGAAATTATAGTTTACATATAGACAAAACCCCTTATACATATACATATATGTATATGTGTTTTTACATATTTGTGTATTGTTTGTGTGTATATGTATGTATATGTGTGCATGTATATATGTGTATATAAATACATATATACACACACATTTAGTGCACAACTTCTCTGTGAGATAAAATTGAGTCCTGGATTTTTAGGGGGATTTTTTTAGTGCTCCCACTAAAGGAGGACACAGCTGGTATTAGGTTTCATTAACATTTTAATTCAATCATTGAATTGCTATCAACAATTTCTAACTGAAATTAATAAAGGGTAACATACATTTGGCCACATTCACAGGCTGGGTAAAAAAGACTTGGAGGAACAGATTGACTTGTTAGATGGCCAGTGACTCAGATTCTACCCTCAAGTATGTGACCCAATCCTGACCTTGAAAGGGCTTGTGTGGAGAAGGAAGAAACCATCTCAACAGGAAGACATAAGAGAGAAGCCTTGGGGAGAAGAAGCAGGAGAGAGTGAGAGAGAGAGAGAGACAGACAGACAGACAGACAGAGAGAGACAGAGAGACAGAGAGAGAGAGACATAGACACAGACAGAGACAGAGAGACAGACAGAGAGAGAGAGAGACATAGACACAGAGACAGAGACAGAGAGACAGACAGAGACAGACAGACAGACAGAGACAGAGAAACTATCAAGAGAGGTCCTGAGAGTCAGACTGCCAGGGGTTGAGTCACTCCTAGCATCGAAATGATTCTGATGCTAGGTCAGTGAGGATGGTCTGAGCACAGTTTACCAACTTTCCCCACCTCACTTCCCTCTTCCCACCTGGGATCCTCTGGTGTTTATTGTTATTTGCTCATTTTAACTTCCTGCCTCCACCTGTCTCTGTCAGGTTATTTGAAGAGCAGTTGAGGTGGGAGTAAGGGAGGGATCCGGAAACTTCAGTCTTTTCCTAAATGTTCTTTATTTTTATATCATTAAAGCATGGAAAAACCTCTTGGGCAACAAAACCTTAAATTGTTTGTGGTATAATAGTTAAGATAACTAATATACAGATAAATAGATAATATGAGGGAAGAGCAATTATTCTGAGGGTAAGAGACATTTGTTCGGCAGAGCTGAATTGTGGGGGGTGGGGCCTGAGAGAAGCAGAATGGAGGGACTGGTGCTGGACTATTATAAACTCAAAGAAATATCTGGATTTAAATACAGACAAATATCTCTAGATCAGTTTTCTGTCCCTTTTGTCAAAGAAATCATAAGCTCAGAAAGTCCTCTGACTGATAGTAAACAGCTACCTTTAGTCCCAGAGGCTTTGGTGATTCATCATTTTTGTAGGCTCTCAGGGTGCTTCAAAATAAACTAACCTCTCGAAGTGTGGGTGGGTGAGTGGGTGGGGTGGACTGGTGCTGAGGCTGTTGAGCATGCCTAGTGGCCTAGCAGAGAGGGCTTTAACTGGACATATGCAGTAGGCAAATGTACGCTACCCCAGCAACCTAATAAAGCTTTCAGTACCTAAACTTGTTCATATGCTCTTTCCTGCCAAGTGGTGAGAAAAGAACAGTTCATCCATAACAGTATTCATCTCTTTCTGCACTGGATATAACGTGCCTCCTTATAAGTAGATTGCACTAGATGACCTCCAATATCTGCTCTGACTTTCCATATTCAATAATTCTATATTGTTATTTTTTTAATCCTAAGAATATATGACATATGTAATGTGAAACAACTAGGTATTTCTCTTCCTCAAAAGTTTGTTAGGTTAAATTGACATTTAATTAAAATAATACATTTTGCAAAGATTGATTAATTACTGAGATGATTAATATGAAGCACAAATGCTGGGGATATACTACTAGAATGTAAGCTCAGTAATAGCAGGGATTCATCTAAACTATATCACTCCCTCTGACCTTGGAAAAAATAACTTGACCTCTCTTGCTCTCAGTTTCCTCCTCTCTCAAAAGATACATTGAACTAGAATGATCTGTAACATCCTTTCTAGCTTTAAATTCTATGATTCTTTGTATACATATGTTT